GTCTGATAGTCATCAGTCACCGGTAGTCATACCTGCTTTCTTGTTATCCTTTTTAAAAATTAAAATTTTTTTTCAATTACCATTGACATACAATATTATATTAGTTTCAGGTGTACAGCATAGTGATTAGACATTTATATAATTTATTAAGTGATTCCCCCTGATAAGCCTACTACCCAGTCTGACACTATACATAGTTATTACAATAGTATTGATTATATTTGCAAACAGTTCTTTGGGGCACAATGTTGCTTTGGGTCCAGTCCAAATGTTATTTGCCCTGTTTTAATATTCTATAGATTTGAGGCATAAGATGTGCAAGGCAGGTCCTCTGGGATGGTAGCTCTGGTTCCATTTTTAAAGTGCCTCTGCTTGTTGTTTTATAGGTCTCAAGGCAGGAAGGAGTTCATGCCCTAATTCACATAATGACCTTTAGAGTCACCATAGGCCTTAGAATCTGTAGAATTATTCATAGTAAATTTCCCAGGTTATATGATCATGGAAGTTGGGAAACTTTTAAAAACAGAGCGTTGGACATTAAGTCATGTGGCTTATTAGAACCAGTTTTGCTACTGACTAGCTAGCTACATGAGCTCATACAAGTCTCATAGTTTTAACATCTTGAAAATTAAGGGGTTTGGACTAAATAATTATTGCAATTCTTTCCTTCTATAATTCCATGCTTCTAAACAAAAAATCCAACCTTTAATTGAGCTACTTTTTACTTATAATGGTTACATTTTTTTCCCTCTGGGTCTCATTGACCCTTTGTAGAAGGAAGATTTCCTACTCCTATTCAAGTGTTTCTACTTTTCTCTGCCTTAGCATGAATATATTTCCCACATATTCCAAATTGCATTTGGATTGTATTAAATCAGAGCAGTCGTCTTTGCCTTATGCCTACTTTCTACCATGCATATCTTCTTGGTTCTTAAAAAGCTAAGTAACAATGCCAGTTCTCCATTAATTTATAATGAGCAGGAAAATCTCCATATGAATATTCTAAAACCATAGGTAATTGACAGAGTAACTAAATTATATGATAACTGCAAACTGCCAAGATTGTCCATCATTACATGTTACCCCCTCTAAGGAGTAAAGAGGTGTTTGTTGGATGCTGACTTAAAGCACACATGTCTAAAACAGGCATCAGGCATGTAACTGGGGGAAATGCTGCTTACCTGTTTCTTCCTCTCAAAGGGTTATACCAGGAGGGAAGAAATAATTAGCACTCCCTCATTTATGTATGTGATTGATGTAGACTTATGTGTTGTAGGTTGTCTCTGGCTTGTTTTTTTTCTCTCCTACAAGTACAGCAGCGTGAAGTTGAGCTGCTGCTTGCAGGAATCTATGACCCGCTCATCATTAATTATTGTCCCCATTTAAGAGAAGAAGAGGCAGATAAAGCCCACGGGTAGTTTAGGCTTTAGAATTAGACAGATTTGGGAGTGCATGCTGGCGTCATCACTTACTGAATTTAAGCAAGTAATTTAACCTTTCAGTTTCTTCATGTGTGAAATGAGTACAATATCATCAGCCTTGCAGGGATATTGTGAGGATTATTAGTATTATCAAAGGTATCCAGCAGTATCTGCTACCTAGTAAACTAGTCTACAATCTCCTCTGTGTCTGAGGCTCCTTGTATAGAATGTAGGACATACTAGATTCTCAATGAATATTGAGCATGACAAATAGCAACTAAGCACTTAGTAAATGGTAACTGTTATGATTACATAAAATAAAACATGATTTTTTTTAAAAAGTAAAATGTATATTACATTTTTCAAATCTTCAATTGTTATTTCTCTGTGAGTACTACTGTGCAAGTAGATAAGTAGAATCGTTAAACATGAGGTAATCCTACAGCAGGACAGAGACCGTTGATGTAAACAACAGATATGAAATGGTGCGCTTTGAAAGCACACCGTTACGTCACCACATTCAGATGTTACCACTGTCCATCAAGTGTTCCATGCATACATCCATGTATCCATGTTCTAATATGGCACCTGCGTGCCTGGGTGGCTAAATCCCAGGTACCAGGTGAAGAAGGTCCTGGAATACCAGTACCTTCAGCTTCACTGAAGAGGTTTGTCCTTCCTGCCCATTATATTATTTGATTTATTCTTTGATTTTATTTCAGGATTATACTTGTGATTATTAAGCATCTATTATGTAGCGTTCTGTTGTATTTACATAATACACGAGGACTAGCCAGAGGTCCTAGATAGATGATCTGTAAGTTTTAGACTTAGATCTAACGAATTAAGGCTTTGTGACTGTGGGATCCTATTCCTTATGTCCTTTGTAAGTCTGTGCTTTCTCTCCCAGCTATCTTTAGTAATTCACATGTTTTTATGCAGTTATAAAATGCTTTGTAGGTAATGCTTTTGGAAGATTTTTCTCCCACATTTAAAAACTACCTCTCAGGCCAATCGGGTGGCTCAGTTGGTTAGAGCGTGAGCTCTGAGCAACAGGGTCGTCAGTTTGACTCCCACATGGGCCAGTGAGCTTGCCTGAGCTGAGCTGCTGCTAAGCTGCCAACAGGCAGCTGGATGGCTAAGTTGGTAAGAGTGTGTGCTGTTAACAAGGTTGCCGGTTTGACTCCCATATGGGATGATGGGCTGTGCCCCTCCCCCCTGTCACCTTCCCAGCCCCCCACAACTAGATTGAAAGTGGCAACTGGACTTGGAGCTGATGGGTCCTAGAAAAACACAGTGTTCCCTTCCCCAATTCCCAACACTGTTCCCTTCCCCAATTCCCCAATAAAATCTTAAAAAACAAAACAAAACAAAAAAAACCTCTCAGTTACAGAGACCTAATAAAATAGGGGCTCTTGCTACTGCATATCTGTAAGTAAATAGTTTCTTTACAGGCATATAGCTTATTTTGGTTTAACATTACTTATGATAATTTAAAATTGGGGAAGTAAAAATATTATGCTTGTTTGTAGAATTTCTATATTTGAGGAAGTTGTAGTCATAACTTGATTTATAAGACTTCCTTCTGTGTTGTTTTTTTAGCTGGTGACACCGCAGTTCACCCAGTCTCACAAACTGTAATTCTGGAAGTTGTCTCTTTGAGTTTTTTTACCCCATAATCATTTATATCTACACAGTCCCTGAGTGCTACCTGTTTTAAACCATTCATTGCTTCTCCAGTTCATCCCATCCTCTCTGTTTCTGCTGCCGAGGTTCTAGATTAGCTACCAAATAATTGTTCTCATCTCTTCCCTAACATCTCCCTGCTTCAGGCTTGCCCTTTTCTTCACTATTGATTGTCTTAAGTGAAATCTGTCCCTCTTCTCAAAACCTTTTAAAACTCCTGGTCAGCCCTAGGTTCAAGTCCAATGTTCTTAACAGTATAATTATAACTAATTCTTACTTTTTAAAGCTCAACACAATACCTCCTCGAGGAGTTCTTATCCGTCCCATCCCTGTTCACATTACCTTTTGAGAAAGGAGTGAAGCAAACCTACTTGTACATGGGCGACATTTTCTCCTACCTAAGAAGAGTATCGTGAGAGGTGAAGTCTGTGTGGTAACAGGTTTAAAGTTCAATTGCAGTAAAGCTTACTAACATCTAATGAATGTGCGTTTTGAGAGGATGGTACATTGTGGTAACATAAAAAAGCTGGGAATCGAAAGAGTCAAATTGGCAGTGCCATTCGAAACATTATTGGGAAAAGAAAATAACAAAACATAAAAAAAGAAAAAACAAACAGAGGGAAACATTATGGGAGGTTTGCCCATGCCTGTTGCCTAGTCCTTGCTTATCTCGGTTGCATAGATGAATGTATCCGACTGTTGCTGCCTGATACCATTAAGCATTGTAATCACAATTAATTCCCTTTGCTCATCGCACAATGCTCACCACACAATGATCTGGTCAAAACTTAGTAGATGATAGTTGGCTTTATAGGAAGAAAAGCTGCGGTTCTGTTAGCTGTTAAATTTCTTGTTGTAAATTAACAAATTGGATTTATATACCAGTTTTTTGTTCATGTGACTCACTTTTGGTGGTTATACTGGTGTAGTCCTGTTTCTCCTGAAGCACACTGAATTCACTAAGATATGGTACCTTGTGAACATTACTTGGCAGCTAGTCAGCCAGGTGTTCCGGTGACACCATCAACCATGATGGGCAGGCAACTCTTTATGCTTTCTTTGTTCAAATGGCTTGTGCAAACATTTTCCCTCCGGCTTCTAAAAATAATATTTAAATGATTTGGGTAAATAGATGAATTACTGAGTGCTTTTAATGTAGTACTGTTTTTCTGCCATGCTATACTCCATGGTTTTAATTACTAAGTACATTACTATAAATTTGCTGTGTCTTCTCTCTCCCTAACTGGTCCTACCCTCAAGATTCAAAGAAAAAAAATTGAATTTATTTATAGTAAAATAATGAGTTAAGGGTTCAAAATTATATTGCACAGTCCCTTCCTGGACACCTAGAAAGCCATTATTGAAAACCCACTATGTCTTAAGCAGTGTACTGAATTTTATTTAAACTTTGAAAAATATTCCTGCAACGTATTTTTACAGATGAGCAATCTGAGACTCACAAAGTTTAAATAACTCTTCCATGGTTACAGCTAGGAAAATAGCAGAGTTGGGATTTAAACCCAGAGCTGTTAATTTCCAAATTTCCTTCTCTTCAAGTGCAGGGCACTTGCCCAGCAAAATTAATTATGTTTAAATAAACATATATATTTTAATAATTACCTTTAGACCATTTTTATAAACCTGTAGAACTTGATTAAATAGCTGTGTTACATTTATTTTGGATATTTTTCTTTGGAGATTATTTTTTAAAAGAAGAGTATTATGAGTTTCATTGTTATTGTGCGTTTAACTTACACAGTTTTCTGTGAAATAAATTCTTGCCTACTTATAGCAACTTTCTTCTTTCCCCAATTAGTTTCTACAAAATTGGTTCACACCAAGGGTTTCTTTATTCAATATTTGCTAATAGATATGTGACTGTTTTTCTTTTACCGGGTTCCATTTTAAAGGCAGAACCATGATCCACAAAACCTCTTATCTTCCCCAAATGTAAATTCTGCCAGTTCAGCAGCAGCAGAAGCTCTGCATTGTTTTCTGTTGGAAGTGTGAGCTGAAGAGCACAGACATTCCCCCTGCTTAGTGAGTGCACTAAGCTGTGATCCATCCTTGTTGTATTATTAATGGCTCAATGTTTTTGCGTTGCAGATGGCTGAGAGCTAGCAAGGAAAGTTCAGGACCATGATGGCTCAATTTCCCACAGCTATGAATGGTAAGCAGCTTTGTGCTTGTGGCAAGATAAAGAGGTTATGGGATTTTTTTTTTTGTAGAGGTTATAAAATATTCTCTTATATATTTTTCTTCAAGCTTATAAATGCAAAACTTACAGTATTTTTGTTGAAAATATTTGGGTAGTTTATTTCAAAATGCTGCATATAGCTTCTACTAGAATATTATGCAGTAAACCATGCAACTCAGTAGAAGCGTGTTCTGCAGCAGCATCTGAAGTATGTGCTTGCCTTTGAGCAACTAAGGGTAACCTAAAGCTATGTTATGTTTCATGTATAAAACTAGAGGAGAAAAGGCAGCGTGCTATAAGGTGAAGAATGTTAAAGGTATTTTTGATGGAATGATTATAAACTGATTAAGCCAATAAAGATTCATTTAGTAATATACATAAAAAATTTGTTTTCCTTTTATAAAGGATTATGTATGTCAATACATATCATTGTTCAATAGGAAGCGTTTTAAAAGAAAATGTTTAACTTCAATAATAAAAAGCTTTTAAAGCTTTTTTTCTGATTTTAGTTTTAATTCATTTCCCAAGTACAAATTAACCACCCTTAGTAAATATTAAGTTATTGTGTATGTCATTTAGAATTATTAATAATTGGAGTTTGCAGGGTCTGCCCACATCTGCGTGGGTTTGCTTAGGGACTCCGGTCTCTTCCCACATCCTAAAGACGTACATGTTAGGTGAATTGGCGTGTCTACATTGTCCCAATGTGAGTGTGTGAGTGGCCCTGTGATAGAAGGGCACCCTGTCCAGGATGAGTCCTGCCTTTTGCCCTGAGCTGCCAAATGGGCTCTGGCCACCCATGACCCTGAACTGGAATAAGCAAGTTGGAAAAGAATTCCCTTACTTGTTTTTATTCATCTTTCTTAAATGTATGGATACTCAAATTTATTTCATTGTTTAATATTAGATGTGTTTTATGTCTTTATTTATAATTTTGACGACAGTTTTGTGACCAGAAATATGGTGTAGGAACTTAACTCTTGTTTGTATCGATTAGCCAGTGGTAACACTGGTTTCATTACACATTGTTTCACTTAAGTCAGTTTCGAAGAATGTATCGATGACTTATTTAGATGACTTACTTAAGTGAGGACTTACTGTACCTGCCCAGTCTTGCTTCATTTTGTTTCTTCCCTTTCCTAAACATTTATGGATCACTTTGTGGCTCATTGCATTATATGTAAAAGAATAAAATTGGAAACAAATGAAGTGTTCAATACTCTCAAAAAATGAGTACTTGAATAATTGTCCAAAATGTTGGACAATTAATTTAGGAGGAGTAGTAGTATATAGAACTAGAGATAGAAGTTTTTTTAAACTTCCGAAGAATTGCTAGCCAATGCAGACTGTGGTAACCTCCTAGTTAGTTTATAAAGTAGCTAACAGTTGAAGATAATCTTGTACATATATCTAATTTAAGTCCAATTCAGGGTTAAAGATTTTATTGAAAGAAATATCCATGTATAGCACAAAACCTTCAAAAGCAGTGTTTACTCCTCTAGTATCTCCTCAGTTATAGATTATGTTAATTTTTTAAAGCCCAGTACTCTTGGAACTTGTCTCTTAAGTGCCCTAGACCAAATTGTTTGTTAAAATGCTTCTGATATAGCCCTCAGATTTTGCCATGTCTACTTCATCATCCTGAAACTAACCACAGACTTTTTAGACTTTGGCTCTTACAGAGCTGTGCTAATATAGTAGCTACATGTGGCTATTTCAATTTCAATTTCAATTAATAAAAATGAAATAAAATTACAAATTCCGTTTCTCAGTCACACAGCACATTTTAAGTGCTCAAAGCCAGACGTGGCTAGTGGCTACTATATTGGACAATGCAGATACAGAACATTTACATCATCTCAAAAAGTTCTATGCACAGATATTCTTTTCTTAGTCTCTTTGATGCTTCACTTCTCATCTCCTTAACAGAGCTGAAAAAGATCAGTGCATCATATTTTTCCACTTGTGACTCTCCTTCTGGTGTCTTCTGCACCAGCAGAACCATCCTTGCCAAAGCCTTCTTTAATCATGGTAGGTTTGCTTTCTGCTTTTCAAAACCTCAATGAACTTGTGAATACAGAGAGTATGATCTGTGAGCAATCAGGCGACAGGCAGTAGGCTACTTCACAGACATGTCGCTAGCAGGTGATATTGTAGTGTAATGTAGCTTGTTTCAACCTCAACACTGTGCAGGTTTGAGGGCTGGTGAACTGAGTAAGATGCTCTGAAGCCTGTGACAGTGGCTGTATCCAAAATCTGGAAGAGGGAAGGAGGAAGGAGAGAGGCAGGAACAGCTCATGGCTCTAGCAGGGAAAGGAAATGCCATTTTATTGTAGAGCTTTATTACCTTTTTGGAATTGTAGAGCTCGTTACTCTTTACAACTGTGTAATTAAGGAATTTTGGTTAAACTGGGCCTGTAGAATCAGTGCTGTACTTTATAACAACCCAAGCATTTATAGTCAAGTCCGCACAATTAAGGCTTTACTTCTGCCTCGACCAGTATTCCAGTTGTGTTGTAGAGATTTGAGTTAGCACTGGTTCAACACATTATTTGACTATTATTTTGAACTGGAAAAATATACCAATGAAGATTTTGGGTATCATTTAATTTTTGCAGCATATAAAAGTGGATATAACATGTCTGAATCATGCACATTCAGAAGTATGTGTTAGAATACTGCTGTGCCACTACCCAGCTATGTGACTTGACCTTGTGGAACTTGTTTCTTTGTGTGTGTGTGTGTGTGTGTGTGTGTGTGTGTGTGTGTGTATGTGTATGTGTGTATGTGTATGTGTATGTGTGTATGTGTATGTGGAACTTGTTTCTTTGTGTGTGTGTGTGTGTGTGTGTGTGTGTATGTGTATGTGTGTATGTGTGTACCATACATACCTATGCATAGACATATGTATATGTATGTCTATCTGTATATGTAAAACAGGAGTGGCATTACTTACTTGGGGTCTAGTGGATGCTCTGTAAATGTGTATTTTTCCTTCTCCATAGACCATAAGAACATGTCTGATGAAGCCAGTAGGTGAGGAGATGAGAATAAGCAACAGAAATCTTTATGAAAATACCACATTCTCAATTCAGTGATGAGTTGGGGAAGTGGATAGAATTTTAATACATTTCTTTTTTCTTTTTCAAAAATTTTATTGGGGAATTGGGGGAGGGGAACAGACTAGTTGCTGTCCTTTTGTTCTTCAGTCTAGTTGTGGAGGACGTTGCTTCACTGGCCCATGTTGGTATTATCATTGTGCTTTTCCCAGGTGAGGCAGTCGCTCACCAGCCATTGGACGTTCCACTTATGGCGGCTCACAGCAGCTCGCAAAAGCTCACGCCAGCCCCACTACAGCCTACACCATTGCCAGCGACTCACGGCAGCCCAGCTCCAGGTTGAGCTGCCGTTCAGCATCTTAGCTGTGGAGGGTAGTGTCACTGGCCCTCATATGTGGGATCCGAACCGGGGCCCTCTGGCGTCCCAAGCCAGTTCTTAACCATCGTACCACTCAGCCAGCCCTGAGGAGTCCAGATTTGATAAATATTTGTACACTACTTAAAAATTATTCCTTGTCATAATGCTTTAGAACATTTTTATTCTGTAAGTTACATTAATCATGATAGTTAATCATGATTGTTGCGTGTGATTCTTTTGGCTAGTGGAATCCATTAAATATTAAAAAGTCTATGAGTTCCTTTAAGGGGTTCATTTTATTCACCTTTGTACCCCCAGCCTTTACACACACTGTTGCCCCATAAATATTTGTTGGATGAATGTATGTGAAGGTGTCAAGGTTGCTGGTTGTCATCCTGAGGAACTAAGCAGTAAACATTATCAGATAGGTTGAGTTAGCCACTATGAAGACAGCTAGCCAAGGAAAGGTGAGGAGATACTAGTATATAAGAAAGCATTAAAATGTGGTAGGATTGAGCGGCAGTCCTTCTTTTGCAGCAGTATTCTTCATAGCCTTAGGATAGCAGCCTGTCACTGCCTGGGGCTATGCAGTGATGTGCATTAGAGCAGCTCAAGCCTTCCTAACCAGACTGTTGGGCTTAAAATAGCCTTACGGTTTCTGACTAAAAAGCCTCACTTTCAGTATTTTCTGGCAAGAGTAGCTTTATCAGAAGGGAAAGAGCCTGAGAAAGATTTTAATGCTCTGACTTCTTAATTATATTGTCCCCTGAGATTGATTTGAGTAAGAAAACTACCGTATTTCTCCATGTATAAGACGCACCTTTTTTCGAAAAATTTGGGGTCTAAAAACTAGGTACGTCTTATACAGTGGTTGTAGATTTCAAATGCCATAGATGGAACTGAGGATGAGGCAATATATGAAGACAGTGATTCGTTATCAGACACAGATGAGGACAAGCTAATGGTTGTGAGTTTTGACAGTGATGAGGAGTTGTATGAATTTTATGATGAATAAAACTTGAGTTCAGTAACTTTAATACATTTTTTTTCAAATTTCGGGCTCCAAAATTAAGGTGCGGCTTATACATGGGAGCGTCTTATACATGGGGAAATAACGGTGATTTATTGAGCACCCTCTTTGTGGCAGGCATGTATTAGATGCTTTATATTTTTATTTTATTTCTAAGTTGGGTTTATTTAGGTATAATTCACCCTTTTAAACATACAATTTGATGAGTTTTGACAAATGTATACAGGCATGTAAAACAGGATATAGAACATTTCATTTCCATCACCTAAAACGTTCCCTCGCGTCCCTGTACTCCGCCCTTAGCCACTGGCCACCATTGATTTCTGTCCCTGTAGTGTTGCCGTTTCCATTTCATATAAATGAAATATACATTGGGCAGCCTTTTATGTATTTGTGGCTTCTTTCACTTAACAAAATACTTTTGGGATTCATTCATATATGTTGTTGCATATATCTTTCTCTTGCTGAGTATTCCATTATATAAATGTGAACCACAGTTTCTTTATCCATTCATCTGCAGAAGACATTAGGATTGTTTCCACATTTTGAAACTTTAGATATAATGTCTAAAGCTGCTATAAGCATCAGAGGACAGATGTTTTATCTGGAAATACGTCTTCGTTTCTTTTGGGTAAATACCCAAGAGCTTATTGCTGGGTTGTGTGGTAAATGTATATTTAACTTCATAAGAAGTTACCAATTGGTTTCAGATTATCTCATTTTGCTTTCCCACCAGCAACTCATGAGAATTTCAGTTGCTCAGCATCTTTGCTCACAGCTTTTTAAAATTTCAGACTTCTGATCGGCATGTAATCATATCTTATTGTTGTTTTAATATGTATTTCCCTGATGATCAATGGTATTGAACATCTTGTTTACGCTTATTTGTCATCCATATATCTTTGATGTGTCTATTCAAATCTTGTCCATTTTTTTAGGGGAGAAGATTGTCTTATTGAGTTGAATAGTTATTCATCTATGTTGAACATTTGTCCTTTATTAAATATATTTTGCAAATATTTTCTTCCAGTCTGTAGCTTATCTTTTTTATTTTCTTAACAGTGTCTTTAAGAGAGCAGAAGTTTTAGATTCCAGTGAAGTCCAATTTGTCAAGAAATTTTAATGGTTTATGCTGTTTTTGTCCTAAAAAGTCATTGGCTAATCCAAAGTGACAAAGAATTTCTTCTTTGCTTTCTTCAAGAAGTTTCTCAGTTTAGCTCTTAAATTTAGATCTGTGATCCATTTAGAGTTCATTTTTGTATATGGCACAAGGTTGAGGGGTTTTTGTTTGTTTAGTTTTGTTTTAAATGTATATGCAGTTCTTTCAGCACTATTTGTTGAAAAGACTATTCTTCCTCTATGGAATTATCTTCAGGTCTTTGTTGAAATCAACAGACAGTATATTTGTGGGTCCTTTAATTATCATCAAAGCAGATAATTTAAGACTGTAATTAAGCCTACATTGGTCTAATCCTGCCTTTAACGTTTATCAACTTTGTTACTTTGGGCAAATTATTAATCTCTCCATGCCCTTGTTTCCTCCTCTGAAAACAGTGATAGTAATAATAATTACCTCATAGAATTCTTGTGAGACTTAGAGTAGAAAAAATGAATTTAACCTCTTAGAAAAGTACCTGACATGTGCTAAGCTTCTTTAATGTTAGCTTTATCATTTTGCCAACTTAATAGATGAAAAATGATATTTAGTGTTATTTAGGGTAGATATATTACAAATTTCACATAATCTTTACAACAACCCTGTGGAGTTACATAATCTTCCTAGCTTATAGAGTTGGTAACTAAGATACAGAGGACGTGAACACCTCACCCATATACATTGGGAGACAGTGTAGTGCAGAGTTTAGGCTACCTGGGTTCTAATCTCAGCTCTGTCACTTACTAGTTATGTGACCTTGAGCAAGTTACTTTACCAATGGGTTTTCGTTTCCTCACTTGTAAAATAAGGATACTAATAGTACCTAATCTAGAAGATAGTGGTGGGAGTCAATGGGTTTCTGCATATGAAGTCGCTGAGAGAGAGTCAGGGCTCAGTAAAGGTGAGCTGCTGCCATCGTTGTCATCCTTTTTGTTGTTATTTATCATCATCATCATTTTTCCAAAGTCTTATAGTAGTAAATCAGTCAGTGGCTGCTCTACTTGCCTTCCTAGTCACAGAAATCGTAACAGGTTAGTTTGTTTGTTTTATGATAAACTGATAAACCAAGTAGGTTTTTTACTGTGTGTGTGGTGTTCATTTATAAAGTGTGTGGGTTTAGCTATTTCAGGTCCTTAGTTCTTCAGTACACCTGTTTCTTCATTGTTGACTCTAATCTTAAAACTTGTCTTTAAGAGACAGTGTTTCTAGATTAAAAAAAAGAAATCCAGTCATTTAGGGCTGAGAAATACTTGTCAAATCAAATCCACCTTAGGTATTTCAAATTATAGTAGGCATGTACATTTCAGTGATATGCATTCCTGGAAATGACTTTGTAAGGTAGGTTTTTGTACAATCTAGGCAGCAAACAAAATTTAGGTATACCTAAACATACTTGGTTTCTTACTGGTCAAAGATGAGTAAACTTGA